GTGTGTGTGTGTGTGTGTGTGTGTGTGTGTGTGTGTGTGTGTGTGTGTCCAGTGAATCCCCAGGAAGTTATAAATGCTCTCTCTCTCTCTTTGGCTCTCCTTCCTTCCCTCAGTGCTCTGAAGGGTATGACAGGGCTTCATTGTAAACCAGAGCAGTCACATACATTATCTACAGTAGAGCAGCTTTTAGCCAGGCCTACTGTCACCTACTGCAGATATATGTGTATATATATATATATATGTGTGTATATCCCCTAAAAGTTGCTTAAATCAGTATTGTTATACCATCAACTGATTAAATGATTACGTATAATGTGCACGGGTTGGCTCATAGTGGCGTCTTTCTACGCATTGTTTTTGGTTTTACCTTCCATAACTTTTGGCTCACTCTCACAGCTCTCATCAGCGTCATTCGCAGATGTGGCAGGCTGGAAAAAGCTCCGATAAACCCACTGCCCAGCACCAAATGGCACACAGACAAAGTTAGCGACTAGCTGGTGAACACGGTGAAGTATTTAACAGCTAACGAGTCAGATATTTGACTAACTGGACTTTTTCGGGTGTTCATAAAAAATAAACGCAGCTACAGATGAATGTGGCTGTGTGAATAGTTGTTTGCTAACACGTTTATTACAACACATTCTTAAGACTTGTTCCACTGCCCCCAAGTGGCCAAAACACCAATCAATGCCGCTTTGAGTAAAGTCGCTCGTTGACTCCAAAGAAGTGAAGAAGAGTTTGGTGGCCGGCCTGCGGACAGCATGCTCGACTCAGTCAAAAGAGCCCTGAAGCCCCGCCCCCCATCTCTGCACAGGCCGCTATCGCTTGTGTATTCAAAGTTCATTAATACTGAATGTGTCACATTTCCAAATCGCACCCTCTTCCACACCCTTCGGTTGTATTTTTCCTTAAACATCTAAGCAGTATTTAGCTTGCGGTGGAGCTGATTTGGGATACTATCGGGTCATTGCATAATGTTTCACAAGCTCATCGTAGGTTTTGTATATAAGATCTTAATCTACAAAGCAATGCGAGATAAATCTAGTCGAATTTAAAAAGTACAGTATTTTTCTCTAAACTACATAGTCGAGTAAACGTATAAAGTAGCACAAAACATAAATACTCAGTAAAGTCTAAATACTGCAAAACTATGTTTAAGTGCATTTGAGAAAATCCACTGCGCATAAGACAGACCGGCCACTCCAGTCTGATCTTCCCTCCAGATTTTAAGTCAACTCGCATGAGCTTATTTTAACACGAAGCAGCTGGATGCCGAGTCACTCCAGAGGAAAAATAGTTGAATTAGATTTTCGCAACAATGCAGCGGCACAAACAACACATACAGCACACTGGCCACATCTGTTGGGCCTGTGCAAACCTGCATAATCACCCTATTATATGAGTGCTTTATATGTCTATAAAAACACTGTCAGAATTAACAACAGTTAAACTGGCTGTTGTAGGAGAGGGATGAGGAGTTGTTGTCAGCACACAGTCTGTGTTTTATAGTTTTCAGTTTTCTGTGCTGCTACTAGCAGCGTTCGGGGAGATACACATGCTCTCCCACTTATCTGGAACGTCTCTTAATTTCAGTCCCACACACTCCTCGTTTTTCTGCTACGTTCCTCGTACTCCTTCCACGCTGATTCACGTGAGCTGCTTTTACTTCATGTACCTACAGTTTGACAGAGAGTCGGACTCTCCCTCCCCTCGCACTAACTGTCTGCAGACGGAGCAGAGAGCTGGCAGGTCGGGCGAGCAACATGCGGATGTGGCAGTAGCACACTTAATTGTTTTCAGATTTACGCTGCGTGTGTTTTCTGGTTGCAGCAGGCAAAGGCACATGTTGAGTTCTCCCTCTGAGAAGTAAAAGAGCCGCACACTAATAACCGCAATGTAATCTTTTCATTTTTGTTCTCATGAATCAGCATTTCGAGGGGGTTTCCAGTTGAACTGTATTACAAGTCACAACCTTTATTTAAAAAGAGGGGTAGATACAAACACACTGCATCTACAAACTGGTTTTAAACATAGCGATACGTTCTAATAAAGTAATTTAACATTAGAAATACCAAACTTGTTTAATTCAATACGATAATGATACTTTTTGAGACCCATACTGATCATTTCTGAAATGGGTGTGTGATTTTTCATAATAATGGTCATTTTCAGAAGGAGAAAAAAAAAACATACTCCCAAAGGGAGATCTCATGATCACATGACAATAGATTTGTTATTACTGGCCGATGCCAGTAATAACAAATCTATTACAAAATCAAATAGGAGTACAAGTAATTGTGTGAAATAAAAAAAGTCACATTTTTAGAAAAATACTGTTTGAATAATAAGCCTTGTTACTCGTCTTGCTCGTGGCATTATTTCTCAGAAATTGTGCATTTTGCTGTATTTATTTATGACACTGAGCTGCCGTTTCTCTCCAGCATTCTGTCACACGTTTGACGTGGAAGTATGTGCGCCAGGTTCTGATGTCACATTGGTTTCCACAGTCATGTGACACGGGCCAGCTAAATGTGTCGGGGCTGTTTTGGCACAAATATTATGCAAAAGTAGTGAAACTGTTTGCAAGTGATGCAACCACACACATTTGTATTTATTATCTAAATGTTTTTAAAGGAATTAATACCACATGATTAGCTTGTGAGTGTCAAAGTATTGAGTCATATTTCATATATTATTGGTAATATTTAGGATAATAGGATTGTTATGTCAATGCTTTGCTTTCAGTAAGACATGCAGTAATCTTTGTGCACTTACAGACAAGCTGTAAACACTACAAATATTATCACCTCATAAGTGGATATGATAAACTTTTTAGCAACAAAAAAAGCTAATTGGTTATTTACACATCCAGCAGACACGCAGTGGACTAAGCAAACGGACCAACCATGCGATTTTATGATAGATATGTGATTTCTTAATGGCTAATAAATCCATCTAGAGTTCATGAACTGTTCAGGAAGTGATCTTAAACTCGATCTGTTTATATCAAACTGTGTTGTGCTGTGTTTGTATCCTACTCCATGTACTTTGATCATTTCAGTCTATTACAAAGTGGGACACAGTGATTCCACAGTAATACCTTCTAGAATATCCCCGTACAAGACACTTGTTCTTTCTGCCGTAGCTATATGTTTGTCATAACATGCTGTATGAAACTCGTTTGTAAAAAGCCAGTTTAACCTAAGAACTAAAACGCAACAATGTGTCATTTTTTTCTCCTGGTCCTGTTCGAATGACCCAAAACTACAGGTGTGAAAACTACTAATTGAAGGAGAAGTTATAGGAAAGTACATGCATTTGGGGGATCTGGGATCAGTTCCCGAGGTGTTGTTGAGCAAAGCACTTCAATCCTAATGTCATTCTGAGCATCAGTTCGTCCAACAGTAAAAACAAACCAAAAAAAACGCGGCTCCAGGTTTGTGTTTGGATGTCAACTGTTTCTCCCTACAACTGCTCCTCGAGAACGTTGCTATAAATACGAGCGTCCTCTCAGTGGACGAGCCTGGTTAAGTGGCGGTTTGTGTCAGCACCGTGCCGGTCCTGGAGAGACTGTTACTCAGTGTTCCAGTTTGTTTCAAGCTCTGACAACACGCAGAATTCCCTCTGTGTTTTTTTTCTGCAGTCGACCCATCTGTGAGCGAAGACATACCACCTTGAGGTCACCGTTATATATCGGTACCGCACATGCTCCAGTGTGCAAACAAGCTGTCCTCGGGGCTGAGGAGTTAACGCTGTATCTACTTGACCTCCGCTCTGTGGTTTTAACCTCCCTTTTACTGAATGCTCTCTCACCCCTGCTCTCCAGAGCCAGACCAGAGAGGCCGGCACAGTCTCAGGGGTCACCGTGGGACGACGAGACCGAGCGGTCAGCCAGGAGCTCACCCCTCCTCACCCAGACCTCCCTCCCCCTCCCCCTCCTCCACCACCACCACCTCCTCCTACTCATCTGCCTCCTCCTCTACCTGCTGGGCAGGTCCAGGAAGCAGCAGCACCAACCAAGAACCACACCAAAAGTACTTTCTACTTTTTCTTCATCTAATTGTCTCTCTGTCTGACTTATACTGTGTGTGTGTGTGTGTGTGTGTGTGTGTGTGTGTGTGTGTGTGTGTGCGTGCGTGCGTGCGTGCGTGCGTGCGTGCGTGCGTGCGTGCGTGCGTGTATGACCTCACTTCCAGCCTCCGTCTGTGCATGTCGGCATGAAGCGTGTGTGTCAAGTTATACACCCAGTTAAGCCCCATTGAACAAGATGTGGCATGTTGACACATCTGAACACTACAACTAAGCTTAAAGAATGCTGCCCTAAGGCTCAGGTGTGTGTGTGTGTGTGTGTGTGGGACACTTAAGTCACGTGTGTGTGTGGGACACTTAACACTTATGCACGTGATTTCAGGCTCAGCAATCCTTTTTGTAATAAAACTCAGGGAACTGCCTCGATATTGTCTTCAAGTGTGATAAATCAACCTATTGTCATACATTCTACAGCACATCCCCATCTGAAATGAAAATAATTAAACATACATTTTTTTTCTATTTTTTATTATAATATCAGTAATTTAATATTGATCAGGTAAGTTTTAAGCTAATGCTAGATTTTGAGCTAACGTATTAGCAAACCATTAGCATATGTGCATAACCAGCAGACATGGAGCAAAATGAGCTGTCCTTTGGAGGTGTGTTTGTGTCCGTGTCACAATCATAAGACCAATATTCCCTCTCCTTTTTGCTCTGTTTTGATCTCCACCAACTGTTGATCTTTAGCTGCTCAATGCAAGTCGCCGACTTTGTCTTTATTTGTTGTTGAATAGCTAGCTTGAAGTAGATTTATCAGAGCTTTTTTATTCAAAGCAGCTTGTTGTTGCTGCCGGAAACAAGGTTGAATCAATGTAGGTGGTAGTTATAGTTAAAACAATGTGCGGTATAACCAAAACATTGTGCTAAAAGAGGGAGAGTATGGGGATCATTCTCATTCTTTCATAACTGTGAATGCAGCATAGTACACACTGATTCACTGTCAATAAAAATACATTGTTTAATGGAACACAGTTGTGTCTGGGGCTGCACCCGAGTCAGATTATACTTTTTTGATTGGCTGTTCTATACAAAGATTCAACTGTTTTTTTTTTTTCTTTTCATAAGACTATTTGGAAATCAGCAAATCCATTTGCGTGAGTTTCAGTAATGATTTCGACCACATTAACGTATTCTAATGTGACCTGCCACAGTTTCATAATGAGCTGAACATAATTTTTTACACTTTTCAAACGGTGGGATCTGTGCAGTCTGCCCGGGAGAATTTAACTCTGGAGCTCAGGGACGGCCGCTCCGTGTGAGAGGAGGACATTTCAACCGGCTCGAGGTAGACTTGGAAAGGCCTGGGGGGGAAAGTGGCTCCAGCCGTGAGTTTTGCAGCACCCCTCTCCCGGACCTGGCCTAGTGCTCGCTGCAACCTCACTGCCCACGGGGCAGATGGGCCTCAGTGCGTCAGCGCTGATTTTGGCAATCCACCCAAACTGTCTTGAAACACGGACCCCGTCTCGTTTACATGTTTCGTGGGTGTGACTTTTTTTGTCGTGTCGTCACCATCCACATCTATCGTGGGGCGACTGTGGTTCAGCGGTAGAGCCCACAGGTCATCGTTCAATCAGAGACACTCTCCCTCTGTGTGTGTTCTTATCAGAGCTTCTCTGTGCTGTGTTTGCATGGCTGGGCAGACCCTGCGTGTCTTTTAGTGCACGTTCGTGCATGGTGAGCGCGGCCCCACTGGTTAGCTCGCGGCCGCCGCTCTCCACCGCTCTTGTATGAGGTTTACAGCTGATAACGACAGCGTCATTGTGGAACCGCGGCGCTCACCGTCCAGCTCCCCCTCTGGTAAACAACTGTTAGCTCTGTCAGCACTTTTTCCGTAGTTGGCACTGTTGGTGCCTTTAGCTGTGAGCCACCGGCTCAGCCGTCGCCATGTTGAGAGCTGTTGAGAGGCAATAGAAATGCTCCCAATTCTCCGTTCTGAGTCACAGTCACACTGAACTATTGGTCTTCATAAGACCATTTGATAACCTGGGATATTTTCCATTATCATTCATTAGAAATCAATCGGTCAGGGACCAGCTGGTGTCTCTGGGTGGACAATATGTGGTTTTAGTGAGGGCGAGCCTCTCCAGTCTGTTATTGTCTTGGCCCCCTGCCTCTGTCTGTAACACAATACTCAACTATCTCACTACCTCATGGTCACACCACTTAGCTGTCACCAGCATAAATCACACACACACACACACACACACACACACACACACACACACACACACAGGGTTGTATTCAGGATGCACAAACGCATTAAGCACAAATGCAGAGAAGCGTTCCAACACACACACACTCCCACAGGTACACACAATTAAGTTTATATGCCATGCCCTACCATTTTCCCTGTGTGTGTTTAAAGTTTTTGCCAATGGGCCACACCTCGTGTTGGTTTTACAACGTGTTTTGGCACACACACAAACTGCTCCCTCCAGCTGGGGACGGAGTGCCTACCTCAAGCGAAGGAGTTTAAGTATCTCGGGGTCTTGTTCACGAGTGAGGGTAAGATGGAGCGGGAGATCGACAGGCGGATCGGTGCGGCTGCAGCAGTAAAGCAGGCGCTGCACCGGACCGTCTTGGTGAAGAGGGAGCTGAGCCGGAAGGCAAAGCTCTCAATTTACCACTCGGTCTACGTTCCTACCCTCACCTATGGTCACGAACTCTGGGTCGTGACCGAAAGGACAAGGTCGCGGCTACAAGCGGCCGAAATGAGTTTCCTCCGTAGGGTGGCCGGGCTCAGCCTTAGAGATAGGGTAAGGAGCTCGGTCATCAGGAGGGAACTTGGAGTCGAGCCGCTACTGCTTCGCGTCGAAAGGAGTCAGCTGAGGTGGTTCGGGCATCTAATTAGAATGCCTCCTGGACGCCTCCCACTGGAGGTTTTCCAGGCACGTCCAACTGGGAAGAGACCCCGGGGAAGACCCAGAACACGCTGGACAGATTACATCTCCCAGCTGGCCTGGGAACGCCTCGGGATCCCCCAGAATGAGCTGGAACGTGTTGCCGGTGAGAGGGAGGTCTGGGTCGGCCTGCTTGGCCTGCTGCCACCGCGACCCGACCCCGGATAAGCGGTGGAAAATGGATGGATGGATGGATGGATATAAACTGTAGACACACGGCAACATGAGGGACGCTTATCAAGATACAATATTATCTCTCTCTGAGATGATTGAAACTCTTCTTTTGATGACGTGATGCACACACACTCCTGGACTTCATAAAGTGTGTGTGTGTGTGTGTGTGTGTGTGTGTGTGTGTGTGTGTGTGTGTGTGGCAGCTTAGATTAGTGTGAATGGCAGGCGGCATTTAGAGCCTTCCACAGCTGCTGCCCAACAGGCACAGAGCAAGGTGTTGAGGGATGTTTGTGTGTGTGTGTGTGTGTGTGTGTGTGTGCGTGTGCTGAGAGCGACTCCTCTCTCTTTCCTCCTTTATCCCCCTCTGTGTTCGTCTCCTCCTTCTCCCAAGCCCATCCCTCCCCTGCTGCTTGTACGTCCCGCCTCACGTGCTTTGACAGCCTAATATGTGGAAATCTATGCCTGGAGGAATACCTGAAACACACCCATCTATTGAGCGCTCCCCACCATTTCAACTCAGTCTCACTTGCTCACTAATGACATGGATCTAATGGCAGTGGAGCAGCCCTAACCTGCCTTTGCACCTGAGGCATGCATTCAGACATAAATCTGACTGCAAATTGTCTTAAAGTGCCAGTCCCAGTGCTTAAGATGAAATCTTCAAATAGACCAAAACACAAAAATATTCCATTTACAATGACATAACAGATAAAAAAAACAAATCCTTACATTTAAGAAACTGGAACAGTTGATTATTTGGCACTTTGCCTTGATAATGACTGAATTAAATTAGTAATATATATACTGACAGCTGCCCTCCATCTTTAAGTGGTTAAAATGCATGGAGTTTGGGGGAAGGAGAGTTATTTTGCAACATAGTGCAGGAATGAAATCTCAGCACCCGGAGAAGTAATCGACATGGAGTCACTGCAGATGGTCGACACTCCCACCAACCTCATGCACAGTGTACACTGCAGTGGACTGGCCAGCTCACATCGCAGTCAGTGTATTTACACTCGATGATATGATTAAACTTACTGGTTTTGTCCTCACATCATTTCTTGCTTATGAGAGTTGGCCCCAAGTTTAAATTCCTTCTGGCCATTCAAACTAATCAACTCTAAATGACTGATGTGTTGAAGCAACCGTCTCAAACGTGTGAAGTGTGGTTGATCATCGGTGAAACGATCTGTGCCTCTTTCAGGGCTGATTGAGAGGGTGGTGCTGAGAGGAGTGACCCACCCGTCTGAAGACACCAGTGAATATGTGCTCGAGGTGGGTCCAGTGTAAACACAGACGCTTGCTCGCTTTTCCAAATGCTCTCTATTCATCTCATCATGTTTTTATCCTTTTCCTTTCACCCTACTACCTTCACCTTTCCCCTCTCCTCCTCACTTCCTCCTTTCCTCTCCCTCCTCCAGGCCAGCTGGTCAGATGGTCTCATGTCATCCGTTGTCAGAACTCGGCAGGAGGTGATGGAACTGCTGACCCAGGTCAGTACCACCACTGAAACACAGTTTGGTGATGATAATCTCAGGCTACACTCAAGTAGTAAAAGTTCTTCAGCTTTGTTTATTCTACAGATTGACCTTTTACGAGTGTAAAAAGCCTGTACAATTCTGAATGAATGTATGAGTCACTTTCCTCTCTGTTTCTTCTCTTCTTAATTACGGTAAACAGACATTTGATCTTGATAATGTGAAGTATTAAACTGTTTGAACAGTCAGGTTTTATAGAGATGAATAGCTCGATATCATCTGCATAGAAAAGTAATACTGTATTTCAATGCGATTAGTGTAATATGTTTTTTTTTTTCTCTCTAAGCTGTCACAAGCATTTCCTGATGACGCACTGGAGAAATTCTTCCCTCAGTCCATAGAGCTGGACCCCAGGTTAGTCACCCCCCCCCCCCCCCCTCTTCCTGTTTATTTTAGTTGTTTCATCATGAAGAATTGTGTTCCAGCTGAGCAAAGTTAGGGGATTTGCAAGAATTCTAGAATTCTTTCAGGAAGACGTAACAGTTTACCGTTCCTTATAAATCATTTTGCAAAGCAAAGTTTTTGAATAATGGAAACTCTGGACTGTTTACATCTATGTTTGTTTGCTACATGTCTCTTCTCCACTGCATTTTGTCGCTGCCTGTGAACATCACTTTGTTTTCTTGCTAGTTGTCCGGCTAGCAAGCAAGAAAAGTGATGTTCACTGGCAGAGACAACTTAAGAGAGCCAAACTGTTACAATATCCTGCTTCTGCTGAACGATTGGAAAGCAGTGAGTTTAGTAAAGTCAAAGTCAGGTCAAGAATTGTTTTTTCTGTACCGTAGCAAAGCCTCCTTTACCCACTCACTATGGTGACGTAATCTATAGGTCCGCCTCCAACAATCTTCTAAATATAGTAGATGTCATCTACCATACCGCCATCCGCTTTGTCACCGGTGCTCCTTCCAACACTCATCACTGCAGCCTGTACTGTGTAGTCAACTGGCCATCACTCAATACCCGCAGATTAATCCACTGGGATCAGTTCATCTATAAAACTCATCATTGGTAAAACCCCCACTTATCTCCACTCTCTACTCATCATCTCCAACAGTAACCGTAATTTACGCTCTAGCAATTTCATCAACATGGTCATTCCAAAAGTCCGCACCGCCTTCGGTTGTTTCTCATTCCAGTTCACTGCTTCCAAGCGACTGGAATGAGTTGCAAAAGAAGCTAAAACTCCGCACCCTAATTCAATTACCCTCCTTCAATAACTCATTACAAACGATAGTCTCTGATCACTGCAACTGTTTCTGAGTTTGCCTCCTGTTTTTTACATATTGTACATATTATAATGTTCACATTTTTGTGTGACATTGATTGAGATGTTTCTATGTTTTATTTGTTTGTAACAACTTGCCTCTTGTTGCTGCCATTTTGGCCAGGTTGTCATTGAAAATGAGAACTGGTTCTCAATTGACTTATCTGGTTAGATAAAGGTAAAATAAATAAATACTAAAAATGAGGGCTGGGTATCGTTTATAGAATTACGATGCCAGTACCAATACCAGTACCTTTTTAAAGTGATACCAATAGAGTACTTAATTTGATCCCCATCATGTGAACAAAAGCTGTGTGTGTGTGTCCCACTCGGCACAGCGCCCATACAGCAGTGACCGCTGATAACGCTGTCCCCCAACCCACGATGGTGGGGGCGCATTGTTGTGGAAGCGTGATGTCCACCATGCTGTTTCCCCCCCCAGGTTAAAACTGTTAGCTCTATCAGCACTGTTTCTATTGTTAGTTTGCGCTGTTAGTGCGGGTCGCACTGTTAGCACCGCTAGTTTCTAGCCGCCGGCTAAGACATCTCCTAGTTCAGAGCTGTGTGCAGGCAGGAAATCCTGGCTGTATGGTTTGTAGCTGACACATTAAATCGAAGAACTCTTGCAGTGATTGGCCGCGACCAAAATCATTTTAATAGTCACATTTTTCTAGATCAAAAAGGTTTGAATGCAGATGTTGTTTGACTGGAGAAATGTTGATACCGGGTTATTTTGTTCGATACCTTAAAGGTATAGAGTACCGATACCCAGCCCTACTTAGGATATGTTTAAATCAATCAATCAATCTACATCCTCAACACAAACAACAGCATTGTTATGGTATCTCATGCTCTTTTTCTTGTTGTTACTATGTTGAGCTAATTCTTAACTGCACCTCCATGATGCAGCTAGATGTGACGTAGCATCTCTCCTGCTATCTTTGCCCTCCCTGTGTCCGTCTGACTCCCTGTCTGTCCCCCTGCTGTCCCGTCTCTCTGCCTGCGCCCAGGTGTCTGACAGCGCTGCCCTGCCATGTCCTCCAGCACCACAGCGTCCAGCTGTTCTTCACCTCCACCAGGCCTCTCTCACCCAACTGTCCTGCCTCCCTCCCCTTGACCCTCCCTCCATTATCCTCCTCCCTTCCCATGGCTCCTGTATCCCAGACGTGTCCGTTCACCTCCTGTTCTAGTAAGTCTTTATTTAGTTTTATTGTCAAAAATATCTTTTTTTCTTGAATATTTGGATCGTTCCTCTTCTTTTTTTTTTAATGTAGAAAAATAGATTACATGTAGCAGAAAACATCGGATAGGTTGAAACCGCAAATATCATGAATGTGTGGTGTGTGTGTGTGTGTGTGAAGGTCTCTAGAAAACCAGTAGGGGTATCAAACAGGAGATCCCTATTCTTAGATGCAAGGAAAGAAAGGTGCCAAAAGGGACGGGGCAAGATGAAAGACTACATGTTTGGTTTTCAGTGTTGGAGAAGAGAGAGAGTGGGGTGAAAAAAGGAGGTAATGGAAAGGACATGGCCGTGAGTGTATGTCTTGGTTGGTGGCAGTGTAGAGGTGAGGCTGCAGGCAGGGTTTTCATTTTGGGATCTGGAGGTGTTGGAGGGGAGAGGACGGGGTCTATTTTAGTCTGGTGTGGGAATTCAGCATGGCATGTTTGTGTTGGGAGGCCTACAGTGTGGTGACCTAATGTTGGTGTGTGTGTGTGTTTGTTTGATTCTATGAGTGTGACTTCATCCCAGAGAGTATTTATAGCCGTCAGTGCAGCGTATATGCTTGTACTTTTGCATGTTTCTACCTGTGTGTGTGTGTTTGGTGTGTGTGTATATGCATGTCTCAGACTCGCGTAAGACCCCAGGGAAACCAGGCTAATATGAATCTGACTAACTGAGCTGTAATTTCCTTCACGAACACACAGCGTTCTTGCACCCCCCCGGCACAATATACGACAGTCTATATTCCTCACAAGCTTGATATGAGGCTCTGATATCACGTTTATTGCACTGAACACATGGGTAATGGGTTTATATCATACACAGCAGACACAGATGAGCAAGCCTGAAAGCTTTTAATATCACATTGATTAACCTTGCATGGACACCAGCATTAATAAAGCATGAAAGCAGCACATGAATGTCATTTTGCTGTTGAACATTTTTGCTGAGGATTTAGGATTAGCAATACTGTGATTCTGACCTCACAGTCTTTATCAGGGCAGAAATAATAACAAAGATTGATTTTGCCTTGTACATGACTGTATTTAAATGTTACATACAACAGAGGTTGATAGTATTCCATCACATATTAAATGGCTCCCCACGGTCTCCCCACAGTAACACGTGTCGCTCATTATACAACGACCTCAAACAACACTATCAGCAGGTTACAACATGTATCACTATTGTCTGTGAAGTATCTTATTTAATTTATTCAGCATAAATACCAAGAATTCCACCAAAAGAAGGGCTATTCTTTATTGCATGGATTGTGCTGCCTTGCAGTATATGTCACAGAAATGACATATATATATGTCAGATGTCAGATGTCTATATCTATATCTATATATATATATATATATATAT